TCAGGGCCATGGTGATTTCTCTAGCAAAAAGGCCAGTTTAGTTATAGTGCATTGTTCTTCATGTGTGTTTTTGTAAAGAGAGCCTTAGAGTGTGAGATAGCAGCAGGGGAAACCCTGGCAGGATTATATTGCTCTGACAACCTATTCCCCACCAGCAAAGTATGGTTAGCCCTTACTGCACCAGCTGCAGAATTTCCTCTCGCATACCCTGTGCTGAGTATAGCCAGCTAACTATGGCTATGATAAGCTCCCCTAAACTGCTTTTTCTGAAGCAGGCTGCACACACAGAGGATGCCAGGAGCCGCTCCTTTCCCCAGTGCTTCTCCATCAGTAGCTATCTGAAGACATTGCAGTGCACAGATTGTGAAGCAGCCTGGGTGGGAAGGAGGCAAAGACCAGCAGATGCAGAGGAGTGTCAGCAGCAATCATGGCAACCATTGCAACCAATCCAGGCAGGTCACCAGCCACTGAAGTTCAGCTCTGCAGTTCTGCAGCACTGGGGACATGGTTCAGTTTGTGTTTTGAATGCCACCATTACTCCTGATTTACATTTGTGGGATTCTCAGACTAGCCTGCACACCTTCCTGATATAGGGGATGCAGAACGTCCTGGGCCCGCTTTCTATGTATTTTTCTGCTCTCAGAGACCATTTCTGTCTTCCTTGGTGTGTCTGTGATGGAAGTTTTATTAATGCAAAATGAATATCCCTCTGGAAAATGAAGTCCAGAAATTAATAATGAATTAAAACAACTTGCCACAGGCATCACTAATGAGCTCTTTGTCTGTGCGGATCACATGAAAGGAGGTCATTGCTCAGCCATTCCTATCCCGAACTGCAAGCAGATTAACTGTTAACTTTCAGTGCATGGGTCTCTCCCGAGACAGCGAGACAGGCTGTAGCTCAGCTTGTGCCTTCCAGGGTTTTACAGCTCTTATCCCTGCTGCGCAGGTTTGTCTTGAAGAGTCTTTGTTACCTACAGAAGACACTTTCCTCCTTCCCCCACGAAAGACTCAGATTGCCCATCTGTGCAGAGAGGAAACAGGACTCATCCCACAGGACTGAAAAGGGACAATAACCTTGCAGAGCTTAAGAGGAGAGTGGAAAGTAATCTTGGAGGAGACTAGCAGGGTTTAAGTTCACTGCTATAAGCCTCTTCAGGGATACTAGGCCCATAACTAACCTGGCACCGCTCCAGCACTGGGTCTGCATCTATTGTTCTTTTCCCTTATCTTGCAAGGCAAGAGTTATCCTCCTTTATCTGATACAGCAGGCTTTGGATGAGTCCCCACAGCAAGGGCAGTGGAGATTGTGCCCCTGTCTCCATCCCTGCCAAGCCCTGGGGAGGGAGAGTTATGTTGGGAGAGGAGCAGTCACAGGGAAGGCTGTCACGCCATGCTGACCAACTTCCAGGGCTTTTTCAGTTGCGAGGTCTCAGTCAGCAGAGCTAAGGACTAGTAAGGAAATGTACTTGCAGCACTTAAAATAGAGCTCACACATAGCACTTTGCATTTACCCATCTTGCCCGCAAGGGTGGCTGAAGGCTGGTACTTTCACTTCTTGCTCCTCACTTGATGCCTGGGGCCAGATGCAGCAGTGTGTGGGGCATGGGAGGCTGCACAGCTCCATACTCACTGCTCCATGACATAGCTGAACAGCAGGAGAAGGGGCTTTTACCCCTCTTCCAGCACCCCTTATGACGCTGTTGGCTGGCTGAAGCGGAGGGACCCATCAGTTCCCCATGTCCATGGGCAGCCTGTTTCACATCATCCATTTATTGCTGTTTTCTGCCCTCTCGTGATAGATGAAATGCCAGCCTATCCCCTCCAAAGGCTGCTTCTAGGTCTGGGAAAACACTCCTGTGTTTTAGGCATGTTTCTTACCCACCCTTGCCCTCTCAGCGGGAACACACAGTGAGGCTGGCTGATGTCTGGCTTCCCTGCTCAGTAGCACAGCTGCTCATTTATCAAATATCTGAGTCACCACAGAGAAGCAGGTGCCAGGCAGTGCTAGCCACAAAGCACAGTGCCTGCAACGCATGCTGTTGTGGGGCTGCCCAGATTCAGCTCCACCAATTGCCTCCACCAGTGGATTTGGTTGCAGAGGCAATGGTGTCATTGTGCCTGTAGTTTACAGAATCATGTCAGAGCAGAAAAAGCCTTTTTCTCCCCCTTACTCCTCCCCACCTCTTTCAGTCTCTATGATGGTTGTCTGAATGCAACACGGAGCACCATTCGAGGCTCTGTGTGCTGTGACAGGAGTGGATAAGGACATGAGATTTTGGTCCCTGACTGGGGAGCAGGAGTGGTGGGGACCTCAAGGGTAGCGGTGAAGGAGTTGAATTAGATCTGACTCTATGACTCTAACGCATGAACATGTTTTATCTTTGGAGGCCAACATGCTAAAGCTCTGAGTAACCCCAAGGTGCAGGGGAAGGAATGACCATGGTTCCATCACGTGCAGCAGAGCGCCTGCACCATGCTGATACAGGGATAGCATCTCTTTAATCCACCCTGGCCTTCTATCACTGCTCCCGGAGGACAACTTGGGTCTGGAGCACTAGGATTTGAACATACCACTATAGGGGGCAAGTGCGCACTTAGCCAGTCAAAGTCCACATTGCTGCTTGGAGGTCAGTCCTTCCATCCCCTACACCCACTCCTGGTCATGCATCTTTACTTCTCCTCTTGCACTAACACTAGACTGGAAAGAAATCCCTTTCCGGTGCAGAGAGTTCAGTCTGATCAGTTCCCTGATCAGGAAAGAAGGTAGCAGAGAAACATGGGCAGGGGTAAGGGAAAAGCAAGACCATTTATAGCAGTACAGGTTTAGGCTCTGAACCTGCACATTGGCACAGGCAGCCTCCCCCCTCCTCCACACACACACAAATTGGTCTTAATTTGTCTGTTGTTAAGCTGAAAACTCATCTAACATCGTCAGGAAATATATGTGCAGAACCTACTGTAGCTTACTTCATCTGGCAATCTTAACATCCTCTTTGTCTTGAGTACCTCATAAGCAAGACTACAGCTTGTCCTTAAAAGGTCCCAGTGAAGGGAAGTTCTTCTTAACAGGTGACAGGGAGGCTGGCAATGTCCATCTCACCCAGGCCAATGCCAGGACAGAAGTATCTGAGGAGTCCCCAGACAGACTAGCGTAGCTGGTGTGCTGTTTGCTGGGGTCGCTGAAACCATTACGTTACTTTTGCATGGCCTTGTGCCTGGTTCACTCAGCTCTGACTGCCATTCAGGAGCTATTTCAGGAGTCTCTGAAAGGCAATGAGACAGGCAATGCAGACGTATCAAAGAGACTCCACCACAGTCCCATAGCGCCTGAAAAGTCTGACTTGGGAATTAAAATGAGGCTTCTTAAGTAGCACCTAATTTGTTTTCTGCCAACTCTTCTTCCTACACAGCAACTTACATCCTGCTTGGGGGCTGGTTTGTGCTAGTACTGCATTTGAGCATGCCTATCGCTTCTTTTTTTGCTGGCATGACCTAGAAACCACCGTTGTGCTGCCTGCATAGACAAGAAACAGCACAGACATTCCCTTTACCTGTGGTACTCCACCAGGATATAACAGGGAGACAGAGCGAGGTGGAAGCCCGCATAAAACATGAACACTGGAGAAGTATTTCAGGCTGCCATTTGTCTCAGGAATGTCAAGTACTAAGACGGTGTTGAGTTTAGGGATATTTTTAAAGAGAGGTTGAGAGTCTCATCAGTCTGTTCAATACATGAACATGAATCTGTCAAATACAAATTAAGTTTTTTTCCTTGGAAGCTGTGTTTGTATTTAGAGATGCGACAACCAATTAGGACAGCAGGGTTCCCTGGATGCTGTCACCCATTTTCTGTACAGTACCATTGAGTCATTTCATCTCTATCCAACAACAGTTTCATGGCAAGGGTAACTGACTCAGCTGCTTTGCTAACTTGTTGGGGCAGTCAGGACAGCCGAGTGCTTCATTTTCACTGAGGTCTGCAGCACACAGAGATTTGTAGGCCAAGTCCTTATGAGCAGCAGTCACCCGAAAATGCTGCTAGGATCTCTGGCCCCAGCTGTGTCAAAGCTGCTGTGACTATTCCGAGATCCCAGAACTAGGGACTATTAAAGACCTGTGGGATCACAGGCCACATGTACTTGGATCCCTTCTACCCCGGTTTCCTACCAGCGATAATAAGGACAAGAGCTCTAGTTTGGCCAGGACTTCAGCAGCACAGTAAACACAGGAGCTTGGCAGAGCTGGTGGAAATACACAGAGGGAGAAGGTAACGTTAGACATAGAGTCAAAGGTTTTGCAAAGAATGCAAAACTGGCCCACTGTAGTAACCCACAGTGCTCTGTATGTGAGGAACAGCTTTTCTGAGATTGGCTTTTATGTTCCTACAAAGGGCATTTTGAAAGTGTGTGTTACTTTCCTCTCTTTGCTTCCAAGTACCTAAATTTTATGACACATCCTCATCCATAAATGACAAGCAATACTGAATGGGAAACTATTGGGTTTTGTAATTGACTTCTCATTTGGTCCTATCACATCCTATCTATCTTTTGCACTATGCTTTTATCAGTGTTATGAGTATATATCTGCGCTGTGTGTGTGAAAGCGGGTGTCTGAAAAGTGTTTGTGAAAGCGGGTGTCTGAAAAGTGTTTGTAAAGGTTCCTGATAAAAAGCTTTAACAACTTAGATTATCAGAAAGGCATGAGTGAGCCAGTCATGGTAAATCTGAACACTGGCAGACGGTAGGTCATCACTCTGTAGAGAAATTAAGGACTGAAGAGGCTGGAGTCAACTGTTTTTTATTATTTTCCTAGGAAGGAAACTACTGCTCATTTCAAGGAGCTAATGTTGCTTGAAAATTTAGGTTGAATACCATGGGAAACGTAAAAAAAAGGCAATGGAGTACCTCCGAAGATACCATTTCCTTCCAGAAACACGGTGCAGTTGTATCAAAGCTCTACTTTTTGATTACTTACTTACTTTCTTTCTTGTTTTCCAGCCGAAGCTTTTGGCGAAGGAGTTGCTTGACCTGGTGGCATCTCATTTCAACCTGAAGGAAAAAGAGTACTTTGGAATTGCATTCACAGATGAAACGTAAGTGCCATGAATGAAAGACCTAAGAGTCAACTGTTAGATCATAGGAGAACCAAGTGGAATTTTTTCCTACGCGAAAGGACCAGCGTAGAAGACCTTAGTACTCTAAGGTCCTAGACCAAAGTCCAGGGAGACAGGGCCTCACATAAGAGTCTTTCTTGTGCTATCTCTTATGAAAAGTGCTGGAGGTCTCTTGCCATGAATTAAGCAGTGTTGGAGGTGTACAGAGACAGTAACAATCCCCTCCTAATCCCATGTTCAAAGATTTCTTGTCATTTGGCATTGGTAAAAGGTTATCTTTAGTTCTTTTGGACTTAATATCCAGTTGCTAGTTCAAAATTATTACCAACCTGGCAGAACTATACAATTTAATTTAATCACTCAAGCAGGTTTAAAACTAATATTAAATTATTTAAAGGAAAGGAAAACAAAAAGTCACAAAATTACTCCACTGTTTCTGATGTTATAGATCCCAGATTACAGTTTCTTTAAAAAAAGAAACAAGAAAGTGTGGGAAAGGAAGGGATTGCAAAATTTAATGTGAACTAGAAGCATTTTAAAATATAAAATTTCCATTAAAAAGGAATTTGGCCTTCACTAGAAGTCAAACAACAGCCTCATGGCTAAGCTAAATCAAAGAATGGGGCTATTACAGTGCAGTCACCTCAGACAATGTTGATCATTGACCTTGAACTCAAGGTCCTATGAAAAAACTCAAAATTTGAGCTTTCGTCCCTAGACAGTACATTTCTAGGACTTGTGTTTGTAAAGGAAAGCATGGAAAGTGGAACTCCTCTCGTTTAAAAGCCAGAAGTCAAGTAGAAAATTTGCACTGGATAAACATCAAGGGTCTGGCAGATGCGATGACTATTCCTAGAAGACTATGATCTCTCAGTGTTACTGTATAGCCTCTGTTACTCTTTTTCTGGCTACCTGTTTCCTCTCTGTAGTTAGACTACCAAATGGAGTCGTGTCTCGTATAGGCACCCACCATTTTCCACCCTAGTTTGTGATTTTTCTGTAATAACAATCGAGAAAAGACCCCACATTTATTTTGCTTTAAAAACAAAAGACTTTCAAACCACTGTTGTGTTCCCAATAGAACTGAGTCAGCAGTGCCACTGTCATGAGCCAGCTCTGCTCTTCTGCTGACATGGCAGAGCAATGTACATTATCTGCTGGCATAATGATTTGGGATCAGATAATCAGAGGCATAATGTGCACACACGTACCCCATATTGAACTCAGCAGCGATCGCCCCTCCAGAGCCAGTTTTCCTGGCAAGTGTCTGCCTTGGACAGCCCGAGGCCATCTCGGGATACAGCTCCTGGCATGGAGATGCACTCAAAGTCAGGCACGTGCAGAATCAGGACCTAAATCAAGGGAGAGCCCAGAATCTGTGCAATCTTACTGACACGAGTAGCTCCCACCCGACATAAATTAGTAGGACTGGCCCTCAGATGAGCAAGAGAGCGAGGCACCAGCAAGTTATTGAAGCAGTAGGAGAAAATAACTGTTCACGAGGGTGTTATTTCGTATCATACACGGTGAGTTAGTCAGCGGGTGCTGCCTGAAGGGTGCAGGGAAGTCAAGCAGTGAAGCCAAAGAGGACAAAGGGAGAAAAATGTTCTTGTGACAGCCATAACAGCACAGGTTAAAAAGAGAAAACGCATGACAGGTTCATGGGCAGAGAGGGATCTGCAACTATATTGCCAACAGAGCAAGTCCTGGCTGCCAGCTGAGCTGAACGGGCACAGGATTCCCCTGGGAGTGCAAGGGATGTTCATGAGGAGATGTCAGCAATTAGAGAGAGACCGAGAGCTCAGCCTCCCCGGGGGACATACCAGGTTTAACACAAAGTGGTGCGAGCAAATATCTCAGTTAGCGATGGGAGGAAGCGCAAGAGACTGACAGAGGTTGTCAAGCCAGTGCGCAAAGCACTGGGGGGCAGCCAGGTGTAAATGACAGAATCAGGGATGCGGATGGATGTGCACTGTCTAGATGGGATTTCAAAGGGTGAGGTGAGACGGCATCCACTCACCTAGCTCATCTTCTAAAAGTTTAGTCAAGATGGAACAAGGAGTATTTAGCAGGAGCTCAGCTGGCCCACATGAAAGATGTGGGGACACCTTCATTAAATCTAGTGAACTCAATCCAACAACATGCCAGTAAGTCCTAGCCAATGTGAAGCTCGGTCTATAGCCCATGTGCTGCCTCATAGTGATTCCTGACCCTTACATGGAGGCTTCTTGACTGCTGTGAAAATAACGCTTACAATGATGATTTGTGCATAATATTTCCTCCTCAACTGTAATAAGCTTTTTTTCAGAGCTGACACAAACAACAATAGTTTTATTTGATTGAATGCAGCTGAAAAAAGATATGTGAGGCTTTGGATTGGGTCTTGGAAACAGATGCCCCATTCCACCTTGAGGAAGTCAACTGGACTGTCTGTACCACAGATCTTAACTTGCAATGTGAATCTGAAGTGAAAAAAAAATCATTTTCTCAAAAAGTAGGAAAGATGATCTCCTAGCATGTGTTTGTACAGCACCCGACATAGTCCTATAGTTGGTGCTCTGAACAGACCAGGTATACAAAGAGAAATCTTTGAAATCGGTGGTGCAGACCCTCAGAAATTTCCTTCTCTTCGCAAATAACATTTCTCTGAGTCCCAGTGTGCCTTCTGTGAAGGGATCAGCTAACGCAGAATAGGCTTGGTTCATAAATGTAGTCTGAAATTGGCTAAATTGCAAGTTCAGAAAGAAGAAAAGCCACTGAAGTATTAAATCAATTCTTCTATTTAAGAGTAAAAGCTCTATGAGAGTAATTTGTTTAGAAATGATTTGGACTGGGGATTTCCATTCGTTAGTTGTGCTCTATCATGACAACCTGAGAAGAAAATCAATAGGAACAACCTTTGCGTTGGCGACTTAATAGTTTCTTGTGATAATATAGGGTCATTACTGCATTCAGTGTGACTAAAATTAGATTGTCAGACTATTATGGGGGAGAGAATAACGCCTCCTCTTTTAATGATCATAGGAATGCTTTACGGCATTAGCCATTAACTGAGGGAGAGCTCAGGTCAAAAGGTTTTCGCTGTACAGTATGTGGGGCCAAGCTCCAACACAACTGTAAAGCCAGAAAACCTATATATTGCTTGATTATGAATTAAAAGGAATCGGGAAAGGGTCTCTTTCCAGTTCAGCTTAGTATGAATCTCCACTAACCATCTTTTCCCTTAGCGTTAGCACTTCCAGCGTTCATTGAGAGCAAGTGGTCAGAATTCCCCTTCTGTTCACTGCAGAAGGAACCATGTGAGCCACAGGCAGGTTTTCATGTCCTTTGCTTGTGACATGAGCCACCTGCTCTATGGAGAACTCCCAACTTTTGCGTTCCGCTGCTTTCCCTTTCTGTGGGCCCAACCAAAAGCTGACATGCTCATCCAAAGCCTTTCGGTGATCCTTCTCCTCCATCACCAGAGCAGAAATTGCAGAGCAGCTAGCTAATGCATAGGATAAAAACTGCAAGGAACTGTGGCTCTGAAATATCAGTGTAGACCCCCAACCTGCTGTTTCCCTGCATTACAACGGTCCTTTTCAGCCATCTAGTACTGGCCTATGTCAGAGCTAAGGCTGTGAATTATGCTATTATTATTTGTGTTGCGTTTGTGCTAGGGTCTGTACTAACATGATAAGGTAAAGACAGAGAACGCCCTTATTCAGCCCAGGATCCTGTGGCTAAGGAGATAGCATAGAAGAGTATGAGAAGAGGGAGAGCAGAGTACCAGTCTTCCCTGGAACGCTCTCCCGGCCTTCAGGAATTGGATGGGTGACTTATTCCTGCCCTGCAGCAATGTGGCAGAGCCGGAACTAGGTACCAGGTGTCCCGTGTCCTGATTGAACAGTCTGTCCAATGGTCAGTGCAGCTCTCCAGAATAATGTCCCGTGCTGGCATTAGACTAGTTCCTTTGTCACCAAGTCCATCATTTTGAAAAATCTGTTTAGGTAATCTCATACAGTTTCCAGAGCCTTGTGGTCCTTTCCAAAAACATTTCCACTGATGGATTTAGACCTTAAATAAGAAAATCTATGTGCTTATTTCTAAAGTTGTGTTTGTTTCTGTAGTGGTTGATGGAAATGTAAAATAGCATATATAGTTTCCATTATGCGAATTGGTCTTTCTCAACATTCAGTTTAACATGAGTTTGACCTTGAAGGGGGGTGAGTTGGTTTATTGGTCCAAGTGTCTTTACAAAACACAAATAAATGTGAATCCACTTTTCAGAAATCTGGACATTAACCAGTAAATCTGTATAAACAGATCCACCTGGAGGCAAAGTGCTCACTGACA